CGGCATAACCCCTGTTTTCACTGTATTTGATGTTGGTATAATTTGTGGAGGGGAAGGGAAAAAACAAATCTTTTAAATAGGGATACAGGTGGACCCATTGCAACAATGAGATGTACACGTCATTATGTTGAAAAACAAATTTTACAACTTTCGGGGTGGGGGGAGGATGGGAAGGGAGGGGAAGGGGAAACAAGGAGGAGGCAACAATACTTGATAAGAAATGTACTCATTATCTTGCCCATGTAATTGTAACTCCTCTATACTGTATTTTCACAATAAAAAAATAAAATATTTTTTAAAAAGCACAAGCAGCAGGGAACTGATGGTTCACACCTATAATTCTAGCTACTGGAGAGGCTGAGATCTGAGGATTACAATTCAAAGTCAGCAGAGCAAAAAAAGTCCATGAGACTCTTAACTCCAATTAACCACAAAAATAGCCGAGTGGAACTGTAGCTCAAGTGGTAGAGCACCAACTTTGAGAAAGCTAGGATACACCCAGACCCTGATTTCATGCCTCCGTACCTTCACACACACACAAAAAAGGCCAACATCTTAGACACTGTGAGCCCAGTGTTCCAGAGGCTCTGCGTCTTAGCTAATCACCATCCTGTGGTCTTACAGGTTCTCCCCAATGTCTTTAAGGTACTTGGGAACTTTGTAAGGGGTGCTCTTCTTAAAGGGCTTCCTTGAGAATCCCTTCCCTATGTTCTTTTTATATTTTTTTTGTTTAAGTCCTGGGGCTTGAACTCAGGGCCAGGGTGTTATCCTTAAGCTATTTGGGGGTAGGGATTCCTCAAGGTAGCACCCCATGCTTGTATCACAACTCCACTTCCAGCTTTTTTGTGTGCCTGTGGTTAATTGGACATAAGAGTATTGTGGGCTTCTCTGCCCTGGCTGGCTTCTAACTGTGACCCTCAGATCTCAGCCTCCCCAGTAGCTAGGCTATAGATATGAGCTACCAGTGCCTGGCCTTTCCCATTTTCTTTTTCTTTTTTTTATATTGTTAGTATAAAGGTGATGTATAGATGGTTACAATTACATAAGTCATATAATAAATATGTTTCTTTTTAGACAATGTCACCTCTTCCCTTGCTCTTTCCCCCCATTTTCTTTATCTTCCAGCCAAGTCCTATTGTCTAGTACTGTTCAAGTCACATATACCAATAAAAGAATGCTTTCCCAGACTTACCCTTCTTCAGCTCTGTGGTTATGAGTAATTTTGTAGACTTCTGTGTTATATATGTTTATCTATATGCTGGTCACCCTGCTACCCCAGGTCACCAACTCTACTTGAAGTCAGAGACCTGCTTTCTCTTCTCTACTTTTCTCTCCTGTTTTTAAATCTATGGTGCTTGTCATACAATTGGCCCATCTTTCATTCCCAATAGATGTCTGCTGAATGACTAAATGGACAAAGTACCTCATGATTCCTGAACTTTGAGGATACAATGAAGTAAGAAAGTTGGGAAATTGTGCTTGGCCAGTGCTGACAGAAAATAGGAAACTTCCCAGACTCTGATGTAAATCTCCATCACTGTTCAACCTACAAAGGAGGGCAGTTGTTCATTGATAGCTCAACTCATCGAATGTTCACAATGTTGTTTTTAATGTTCAATGGATTCATTTTACACAGATCAACAGTGAAAACTGGTGGTTCATTTATTTCTTTGTCCAGTGGGTATCTGGAAGGTGTTTGAATCATAGAGTCTCAAGTTTGGACTTGAGTGGAAGATAAGTCATCATTTCAAAGAACTACAAGGTAGAAGGCCGTTCCTAATTGTTCATTGTCTCCCACACAGATCTTCACTGCATTGCCACCCTTCACATTGGGAATTTTTGAGAGGTCTTGTACTCAAGAGAGCATGCTCAGGTTCCCACAGCTCTACAAAATAACTCAGAATGCTGAAGGCTTCAACACAAAGGTAAACAATGTGATCACAAAGAGCTGTCAACTCAGGAAGGCATAGCCCTGCTTGCACCTTCAGGCAGATATCTGTGGCTCAGCCTAGTCATCTGCCTATGAAATAATGCGACACTTGAAAGGAAGCAATGGAGAAACAATGAGACCATGACAGCCTTCCTTCAGATAGCAAGTCCAGGAAGCTAGACAGCCCTCTAAGGTGATCCTCATGTTGTGCATTCAGTTCCAGTGGACTTACTCCTTCCCTCTTTTCTTTATCACTTTGACCTTCCCTGTCAAAGAAAACAGCTGCAATCCTGCATTGATACCTCTTAAGAGCCTGTCTAACCCTTACTGTATTTTTCATTTTAAAAGAAGATCTTTCTTTAGCTAGAAAGATTGGCTAGATACAAACACAGGAATTAAATCAGTGATTTAACTGAAAAATCAGATTAACTGAAAAATCAGAAAACAGAAAGCATCTAGGCACAGGTTGAGCAGCCTGTATCTGATGTTTAGGACCAGAAGTGTTTTAGAATTCATAGGAATTTTTTAAAATTTAGGAATATTTATATTTTTATGTATATAATTATATCCCCTAGATATGATACATATATATCATTTATATTGCATATTATAAATAGTATATAATATTTAACATTATACAATATAAAATAAAATGTATATTATAGATAATAAAATGATAAAACACAGGGATAGTCTCCAAGTCTAAATGTAAAATTTATTTACATATTTATTTATACACATAGCCTGCAAGTAATTTTTGCATAAAAATTTTAATAAGTTTGTGGGATTTTCCACTTACGGTCTCACTCAGATTTCAAGTATTTTGGATTTGGGATTTTCAGATTAGGGATGTTCAATCTGAATCTATGTAGGTTATCCTGAGGAGTCAGTGGTTGTATATGAAAGGGACTGAACAAACTTGAATGGCAAAAAGGACCTATCAGTCCTGCAAGGAGTGGCAGACTGGCAGAGTGCTGCCTGCCTAAGGGGAAGCCCCTGACTTTCCTGTAGAGGAAGTAGGGCACGAAAGCAGCGTAGCCATGATTCTGTGTGGGAGGGATTAAGGAGGTTTAAATAAAGGCCCAGCCAGGCACCAGTGGCCCATGCCTATAATCATAGATAGATAGATAGATAGATAGATAGATAGGTAGATAGGTAGATAGATAGATAGATAGATAGATAGATAGATAGATAGATAGATAGATAGATAGATAGATAGATAGATAGATAGATAGATAGATAGATAGAGCTACATAAGATTGAGTTATACAGATTGACAGATGAAAGATGTTTAAATATCTGGCTAGCTAGATATAGACATTTAGGCATCTAGACATAGATATATAGATCTATCTGATATATTTAGCAGTACAGGTTTTGTAGTAAAAGTGCTATCTGGAGATCATCCAATCATCTGGGTGTAAATGGGAAAAGCAGTTGTTTCTTGGTGTTTTCATGAGTTAGACATTAGCATGCTCCCTACAGGATCTTATAGCCCACTGCTAGGAGCTCCCACAATGCACCATTTGCTGTGAACTGCACCGAGTTTCAGGGTCTGGCCTCACTGACTCACTCGCTGTCTTCCCACAGGTTTTCTGGGGTCACTGCATCAATGCCTTGGTCCACTCCCTCATCCTCTTCTGGTTTCCAATGAAAGCGCTGGAACACGGTAATGGCTTCATGACTCCAACTGTCAGCAAGTAGCTGACTGTTCCTCTGCTGCTGGTGTGTTCTTAGTTTTCCCCCAGTTCTGCACAAGTGATCACAGAGCATACTATAGAGGAAAAATATACCTAAAATCAAATGAGAGTTGGTTCCAGGTCTATAATGAATAGGCTTAATCAGTTCTGGCCTTGAAAACTCATTTTCTTTGGAGTTGATTAGATAAATACTGTAATTTCTAAACTCCGATTGTAATAACTGTTGTAGGCTTTAACATTGAAAGGGGCATTACATTATCACAATATGCAATTGCCTCTTGTACATGAGCCTAAAACCTTCTGTTAGCTACTTAAACTTCCATTTTCCAAGCCTCCAATACTTCTATGCAGAATCATTCAGATCCTGTAAGAGTAAGCTTAGTCTTTGTTTGCTAAGTATCCTTAACATACACCTTTGGAAGCTATAATTTGGTCAATGACTGATGCTCCAGATTGGTTCAGTCCTTCTGTCCAGCCCCTAGGGGACCAGTGTGTCTGTTTGTTCATACTTAAAAAAATTTATATAGTTCTTTCATTGTCTTGCAGTAGTCGTACAAAATGGTTTCAATTCAATGTGCTAGTTTAGGAATAGAATGCATCTTGATCCATGTCACCCTTTCCATTTGTTTTTCCCTAACATATTCACACTTTTGTGGATTTGTGTGTGTGTGTGTGGTGTATTCTGGTGTATCCTGAATTCAGGACCTACGTGTGGTTAATTACAGATAAGAGTCTCACAGACTCTTCTGTCCAGGCTAACTTTGAATCCTGATCCTGATTTTAGCCTCCTCCTGAATAGCAAACATTACAGATGTGAACCACCAGTACCTGGATGATCATATTTCTTGATATATATAAAATATGGCATCTATAGCAAGAGATGTATCTGGCATCTGAGAAGATGAAAATGTATTATCTTTTATCCCTCTCCAACAATCATAATCCCCAAGAAGGGAAAATACTGCAAATGTTGAACAGATACTTCCTGTGATTGTTCAAAGATGATAGTTTCCAAGTGTCTATGTTGCAGTGTTAGTGTGGGATTTTTGTGGGGATTTTGCATGTGTGTGTATGTGTATATGTGTGTTGTTGTTGTTGTTGTTATTGTTGTTGTTTTGCTTCAAACAAATGACTCATCCTCACTGATATTCTTCAACCTAAACACTGACAAGAATTCATGCATTCATAGTTGATTAGGGCCTGTGACCTCTTCCTGAAGTGTTATCTTAACTCCTTTGCTTTCAAGGATCCTTAAATCATTTTCTGTGCTTTATTTTTGGCCCTAATGGATTTAATTGGTTTAAAGGTGATTCTAGAATGAAGAGATTATAGGGGGAAGAGTGTTGGGTATGATTTCAATTCAGAAGCTGTGGATCCTGGGTGGTCAAAGCATCATTATCAAGTGTGTGACTTGCATAGAAACAATTGTGGTGACTTCCCTCTTATAATGTGGCCCTGGTTTGTATATATAGAAAGAGACAGCCATAGTATTGCAAGTTCAACAGAACTGGAATATGTTATCAGATTCAATTGCCTGTTTATGAGTGTTGATGTCCTATATACTAGTGAGTTCTTACTACATTCTTATTTGTTTATTTTTGAGACAAATCTCACTATGTAGCCTAGGCTAGCCTCACTCATAATCCTTATGCCTTATGCTCCCCAGTGGCTAGGATTACTCTGTTTTGTTTTGTACCAGTCCTGGGGCTTGAATTCAGGGCCTGAGCACTGTCCCTGAGCATTTTTGACTTAAGGCTCATGCTCTACCACTTGAGCCACAGATCCACTTTCAGCATTTGGTAGTAAATTGGAGATAAGTGTCTCATGGACTCATCTGCCCAAGCTGGCTTTGAACCTGGATCCTCAGATCACACCCTCTTGAGTAGCTAGTTACAGATGTGAGCCACCAGTACCTAACTAGGGAAAGAAATATTCCTGAGAAGGTGTGGGTAGATTGTTCATTTCCTAGAAGGTTTCCAAAAATTTTTGCTTTACTTACTTTTTGTGTAGTTTTTGGAGAGACTTTTCAAAGCACACTTTTGCTGATGGAGTTTGTGATGTTCCATTTCCAAGTTTGAAAATAAATTTTTCCACTAAAGCAAGTCAATAAATCAGATTTTCCCCCCAGCCTTCTGAACCTCAAGCTTCTGTTCATAGTCTGCTTCTTCCCTCCACCACACACACACACACACACACACACACACACATACACACACACATTGGTACTTTAATCTGAAAAGTGACTCTAGGTCAAGACTATATATATCACCTTTGTAGGTGCTGAGATTCATCAAGGCCCTTGGTGTCAGGCCATACTTGGGATTTCTGTTGGCATTTCTAGTCTGCATAGCTTAGCAACCCTCCTCAAGGTAGAATGTGGTCTTTGGCAAAAGAATGGAAAAACTACTTTTGATTTGAAAAAGTATTTTCGAAAGAGGTGATGGCAAAGAGAAGTACTTAACAGGACAGAAAGCTTCTTTGAGAATACTGATCCTGGTTCTCAAGAATCTTTTAAGAAACAGATCAATGCTTGTATGTTGACATTAAGTAAGAAGCAAAATCTTTCAACATTTTTAGAAAAGGCATTTTGGGACTTTTGAACTTTTAAAAAATAAATGGTGGATGTGGAGGTATGGCTCAAGTGGTAGAATGCCAACCTTGAGCAATAAAAATCTAAAGAACACTACCTTGGCCTTGTTCAAGCCCTAGAACTGCCACTAAATAAATGAAAAATAAATACATAAATAAATAAAATGTGGTACTATAAGATTGTATATAAAATAAAACTTAGTCTACCTCTTTTGCCAGAGTAATGTTGAGTCATATTAGCCACTTTTTATATTAAATTTTTATTGTTATTATAAAGGTGATGTACACAAGGGTTACCCCTTTATAAGTCAGGTAAAGAGTACATTTCTTTTCAGACAATGTCACCTTTTCCTTTTGCTCTCTCCCAGATTTTCCCTCCCATGCACATATTAGCCCCTTTGTTCCATTCGTTATTATAAACAAGTGTCTTATAGCATATGAATCTTAATAATTTACATTGTTAAGCTAACTTGGGGTGAGATTGCCAACCTTCTCATTTAAAAAAAAAGAGGATGGTAAGGACATTATTCCAAAATCCTCCTAGATTTAGTCCTAGGGACATAGTAGTATATGTAATGTAAGAGATTAAGTTCTTGAACCTAGAGAAAGCAGGTCTTAAACAAGAAGTATTACCAAAGATGAAAATTCAGACAAAGTGTGGTGCTTCCCCTTGTAATCCCAGCATCTCAGGAGGAAGATATCAGGAGGATCAGGGTTCAAGCTAACCTGGGAAAAAGTAAGACCTCATCTCAAAAAAATGATGAGATATAGTAGTGTGTCCCTATCATTCCAGCTATGTGCAAGGTGTAAATGGGAGGATCACAGTTCAGTATAGGATGCTATCCAAAAAGTAACTAAAACAAAAAAATGGGCTGGAAGTGTGACTTAAATGGCAGAGCAATGTCTAACAAGTATGAAGCCTTTTATATAAACCAGCACCATACACCCCCTCAAAAATAATTTAAAAATTTAAAAGAGGAAGAGTCAATTTAAGTAGAATGTATCCTAAGGAAATATAACTTGGGCTTTAAAACTATTTTGAAGCCATGTGTCAGTGGCTTCTGCCTTAATCCTAACTTAGGAGGCTGAGAGCTGAGGATCACAATTTGAAGCCAGCCCAGGCAGGAAACATGGTGAGATTCTTATCTCCAATTAATCACCAAAAAAGTTGGAAATAGAGCTGTGGCTCAAGTAGTAGAGTGCTGGATTTGAGCACATAAGCTCAGGAACAGTGCCCGGGGTGCTCACATGTGTGAACATACACACACACACACACACACACACACAGAGTCATAAAGACTGCTTCCAACAGAATGTGGAAACAGACTTGTAAGATGAGCACAAATAAAGAAAAGAGTGGACAGATAAGAAAAGTTACAACTTTCAGGATCAGCCCAGGGTAAGGACAATTGAAGAGGAAGAAGGCATGGAGGAAATGGGGCACAAGGGCAGGACTTAGGAGACAATTCCTTGAGTTGGTGTGGATGAGGGAAGGGTGCTCAAACTCTTCTGGACCTTTGGAATAGATGGGCCTTTCAGAATATAATTGTCACGGGAGTTATGTGTGTGATAGAAATGTACGAGTTTAAAAGAAGCAAGGAGCTATCTCTAACAGTCTCTAATAGTCTGTTATACTATACTATACAGATCTGCCCAAATACTGCATTTTAAAATCAGGTCTCTGAAACAAACAAAGCACTGGCATTTGTTCCTAGTAACTGCCAGCTGGGTACTAGTGGCTCGCATCTATGGTCCTAGCTACTCAGAAGGCTGAGATCTGAGGATCACAGATCAAAGCCAGTCCAGGCAGACACATCTTCAGTTGACCAGCAAAAATCCAGAAATGAAGGTGTGATTCAAGTAGTAGGGCATTAGCCTTGAGTAGAAAAGCAAAGTGAGACCATTTCCACTTGTCTCAGACATATACTAGTTATTGCAAATAAGGGAAACCATGGATCTATCTTTCTTTGCGCCTGGTTTACTTCGCTTAATATAATTTTTTCCAAGTCTTTCCATTTCCTAACAAATGGGGCAATGTCATTCTTTCTGATGGAGGCATAGAATTCCATTGTGTATACATACCACATTTTCTTGATCCATTCATCTACTGAGGGGCATCCGGATTGGTTCCATATCTTAGCTATGGTAAATAATGCTGCAGTAAACATAGTTGTTCTGGTAGCTTTAGTATGGTCTTGTGCAGAAATGGTCAGATAAGTTGATGTTAAGCGAAATGAACCCCAAGTTAAGGACTCGAATGTTTTCCTTTCTTGCTATTGTGTCTAACATATTTATATTTCTTTGTTGCTTTGTATATCCCTCCCCCACAGTATAACCCTTGTTTTCACTGTGTTTGATATTGGTATAATTTGTGGAGGGG